CACCTACCAGAATAGTGCTGCCAGGTGGAGACAGGTGACCATGAGCCTGTGGGGAAAATTCTATTCAAAGCATAATAATAATCGGTAGCTTAGGCCAGATTGCTACAAACTTCACTATGCATGCAAATGGTGCAGAGAATCTGTTAGACTGTTCATTCACTTGCTTGCAGCAGTACTAGGGATCAAGACTATAGGCAGAAGTTTCTGTCCCATTAGCCAGCTCCTGAATAACCAACATGGAGACTTAATATTACTTATAAATACTCGGCCAATAGCTCAGGCCTGTTACTACCTAACTTTTACATTTAAATTAACCCACATTTCTTATCTATGCTTTGCCATGTGGCTCATGGCTTGTTACCTCATTTTCTACATGTCCTGCTTCCTCAGTGGCTGGCTGGCATCTCCCCTGACTCTGCCCTTCCTCATCCCATCTTTCTCAGTTTGGCTTTATCCTGTTCAGCTATTAGCCAGTCAGCTTGTTCATTAAACCAATCATAGCAACATATATTCACACAGTATACAAAAGGATTATTCCACAGCACAAGGTCTTGTTCATGCAAGGCGACTACTCTGCCATTAGCTGCATCCTCAGTCCATGGAATAGAGATTCTAATTTATTCTGCTGTCTAGTACCTAAGTGAGGCAAATGCCACCGGGCCAGGTACCACATCTTAGAGAGCAAAGACTTCAGCATGCTACAGACTTAAAACTCAATGAACTGTCATTGATCACTTTCTTGTAGAGTTTTCTATGGATCCATTGGGACAGGGTCTGTGAATTTCTCATTTACAAGCCATGCCCTTCCATGATTTCTTGCTGTGTTTTTCAAAAGCAGAACAGAAATTTAAAGATACCCATGAAACATTCTGAGCACAGAGCCTTCCTATGGTTCATTTTTTTAAAGTAATCTCTCACAAGTATATCACTCACACTTGAGTCAATAGAAATTTTTCCAAAACACTGAACTTAATTTTTTTCAATAATAAAATCATTCACCTCTTTGCGTGCCTGTATGTGTGATGTTTATTTAGACAGTATCCTTGCAATAACATGCCAAAGCAGCAGAAGAATTTGGAGCAGACAGAAGGGGCTCTTGGTGAGGACACAACACAGTTGGAATGAGGAAGGAAGGACCCAGAGAAGGGCCAGGTGGCCCCTGGCTATGGGAGACAGAAAAGGGGTCTCATTAGGGAGAAGGCAGGTGAGCCTCCACTCCAAATCCACATTCTTTCCCGCAGTCAGTGACCTCACAAAGTTTGGCTGAGGCAGGACCAAGAGAGACAGTAACAAGAGTTCAGTGCATGAAGAGCTTCCTCTTGAACTGTTCAATATCTGAGGAAGTCTGAAGCGAAAGAGACAACTCCGGAATAAGTAAACGTTAGTGTTATTCCAGTAAAGGAGATGCTGTGCCAGCCCATTAAAGAACCCTAAAATCACATTGGCACACTGGCAATTCCCTCCAGCCTTCCAGGCATGTGTGAGACTTCTTAAAGACTTCACAAAAATGCTTAACAACGATGAAAAACACCATTGTCCCCCGAGTCGAAGACAGGTTCTTTGGAGAAAATTGACAGACACGAGATCTGAGTCAGAAAGGAAGCGAATCAGTTTTGGGAGGGCCAGGATTCACCACGTAGATGTGACAGACGTAGAAACCCCAGCTGTTTTTGTTAACCTTTATCCAGGATAGCGTGATCCTTGTTTGAAAGGTAACTTGATTTTAGCACTCCGTGGATTCCACGTAAGAAGTCGTGGCATCAGGACCATAAAGGTTCTATGCAGCAGCAGTTCAGCTGGAAAATATGGGTAGAGAAATGAAAAAAGGCAAACAGGAAGGACAAACGGAACCTTCTTAAAAACAAAAGGAAGCCAAGGAGCAGAAGAGAAATCAGGAACGCCGTAGCCGCGGCCCCAAGCTACAGACTCACCTATCCACATGACAGCAAGCAGTACCTCACAGAGCCTACAAAGGAGAGCCCGGAAGACCTTGCCAGGGGACTCATGAGGGCCACCACTATTTTAGTCTCTTTTCTGCCAGCTCTCCCCCTCAACAAAGGCACCTCAGTTGCAAGTTATGAAGTCCCCAGCACACAGTCTATACACATGGCAGCTCCTCCCCTGCCGTCCAGCCTCTACCAGGGAAGAAGAGGTGGTGTGGATGAAGAGAAAATGGGAACAGTTAATCATACAGCCATTCCTTAGTCCTCCAAGTGGAGTGTCACCAAATACCAGACCCAGGGTCACCTCCTCACCACCATCCTCACCACCCATGGCACAGCCTTGCCGAATCCTCACCGCCATCTTTCTATGCAAGGGAATGAGGTTGGGGGCGGGGGAGGGCGGCAATGGAGCTTGCTGAGATTTTTGGAAGGTGGGGTCCCCCTTGCCCCTTCGGTAATCTCAGTCCACTCCAGAGCACAGGCAGAGCCGGGCGGTGGTGGTGGCAGTGCACGCCTTTGATCCCAGCACTCGGGAGGCAGAAGCAGGTGGATCTCTGTGAGTTCGAGGCCAGATTGGTCTACAGAGCGAGATCCAGGACAGGCTCCAAAACTACACAGAGAAACTCTGTCTTGAAAAACCAGAAGAAGAAGAAAAAAAAAAAAACAGAACACAGTCTTTCTGTTCTCCCTATTTTGACTAGTTTATGTCAAGTAAATAAAATGGCACATGTCCCTGCAAGGACCCAGCACTCTGCCTAGCACCCTGCCTGCACTGCTGAATACACACAACCACCTGGTGAAACAATATCACACATTACAGATAAAGAACTTGGACTCTCAGGGACATTAATCAGTGGTTCAAGACCACACAGCCAATCCAAGGAAGAATCCTGGACTAGGGGTGCAACTGGGTGGTTACACTTGCCTAGCATGTGCAAGACCCTGGATTCAATGCCTGGCACCATAAAAAGGTGGGGGACAGGTGGAGAGTCCAAGGCAGTCTACTTCCAAGCCATTGTACCTTTAGATCAAGTAGGCCACAAATAAAAGCAACATCCCTAAAGCTCTGTGTCTCCTGAATTCAACAACAAAGCTGACAGCAGATTATGAAAGCTGGTGCCTGTAACCACAAGATGTGGAAGGCAGAGGCAGGTAGAGATCCTTGGCTTTAAGGCCAGTGTGGTCTATTTAGCAAGCTCCAGGCCAGTCAGAACTAAATAGTGAGACCCCTGTCTTCCCACAAACAATTTAAGGGGGGCGAGGGAGAGACACACTTCGAGGCAAGGTCTGAAAAGACCCTAAACCTGAGGAGATTCTGAAGCACTATGATACTTAGAAGTCATCTAGCCCTTCTTCAGGCAAGTCAGAGCACTCATGTCTTAAAGAAAGTTCTGTCTGGTGTTTCTCATGCCCAGAGAGCTCCCTGCCCTGTGCCTCACCCATCAGGATGCTGCTGAAACTGTCAGCTGCTGTGTGTGTGTGTGTGTGTGTGTGTGTGTGTGTGTGTGTGTGTGTGTGTGTGTGTGTGTGTGTGTGTGTGTGTATGTGTGTGTAAAACTAAAGGAAAGGGGCCAAAACCCCATTGTGTGAGACCTGTGTAACTGTCTGGACATAGAAAGACACCCCAGGAAGTTCTGTGCCTGGGAGCAGCAGTACAAGATGCCCCAAGAGCACTGAGCCTTTTGTGACTCTGATTCAGCATACAGAAGCGTGAAGGACATAGCGGAGCCAGGGAAGGAGCCTGAGCTCCCATAACTTGAGACAGGCGTCATTTACAGGCATGTGTACCTCCTCACCATCACCGTAAGGCGCACAGGGTCACCCTAGGCATCCCGATGCTCAAAGCCCACCCCTTGGCTGGCTGCCTGAGCTGATGGATTACATCCTGTCAAGGTATTGATCCTGATGAACTAGGGGACCCTTGGCTATGATTAAACGAAGCTGGGCATTAAAAAAAAAAAAAAAAAAAAAAAAGTCTTAAGCTATAGATGACACTGTGTCACTTGGGAGATGTACCAGAAAATCAACTCCAAACAGTTCTAATGGAATGTGATGGAGACCTTGGGCATCCAGCGGGTAACAGGAGGTTTCTACAGAGCTGAAAATGCTTCTTGACACCAGGAAGTCCCATTCACTTGTGCTGTAAACCTGAGGTCTCTGTCTGTACACATAGAATAGGACAGCCTTCTAACCCTCTTGCATGGCTTTGCATCACATCTCTTTTGAAAGAAGCCAGCTCCGGGATACGGTCATCACGTGACCCATATGACATACACTTCCCCGCACCTCTTTCCTCCTTCCTCCATGGCTGCACAGAAAAGTCACCCGCAGGTCTGGTTCTCTCCAGGTCTCCCAACTGACCTCCAATGCAAAATATTTAAGGAGTCTAAACTCTTTCCTTCCTGCTCGGTACGCTCTCCGCTGTCAGCTACTTGTGTGAAGGCATCAGTGTCCTTTGAGACCTGAGACTGATCCAAGAGAAACAAAAGGCCTTCTCGGTGGTTTCCAGGCACGAAATGGGCTGAGCAGAGAGCTAAATAAGAGAAGCTGTAACATGACCTGGCTTCAGCCTAAAGGATACCCGTGTCCATGGTTCATTACATGTGGGCATGGTTGTCAGACATGTTTACCGTGAGGGCAGGCTCCAGGCCTAGCTCAGCTTCCCACCCCCACGTTGCATAGTCTACCTAACATCACCACCTTCCCATTCACACACTGTCTCACGAGTGGCAAGGCCATTCGTGGTGCTTTTGATGGACATCCTCAGAAGCACATAATGTGTGTCGGTCACTCTACTAGCTCCAGAGAGGGAGGACCTGAGAACTCTCACCTCTGCCGGAAGAACCATGATAACACGGCAGGAAACAACTAGAAAAATGTGCTGGGATGGGCAGCATGGTGACAAGCCCCTCACGTCCTAGTGACCGAGCTGTGCCCCTCTACCCATCAAGAAGGGGTGGCCTGGGAGAACTATGTCACAAAGGCTCAAGGGAATAGGATACTGTGCCCTAGGCAAGGAGGAGTTTGGCTTTTAATCACAAAAAAATACAACAGGTTTTGAAGCAGAGTGACACCACCACATTCACATTCTAGAACATTCTTTCTGACTCCAGAAGTATGGCAGAGGTTAAAAGGCTGGAGGCGTGGCAAGGACACCTGGGTGGCTACAGGAAAGTTGGAGATGGTGTATGAAAACCAACAGTTCTGGAGGACCTCTTGACTGTGGAGACTGAAGGAAAACAAGTCAGTATGGATCCTAGGGCCTCCCTTTGAAGCCCAGTAGCAACAGATATGTCTTGAAAGGTAGGAATATTGGGAGCAAAGGGTAGAGAAGGCAGAGGCTGTCAAGTCTGGCTGGAGCATGCTGCGTCCACAACACCCTTGGGAGGTCTGTGTGGAAGTGTGTCACCAGAGTCCTGGACTCGGGCCGCCAACAGAGCCTCCAAGGAGTTGGTCCAGCTGAGGGAAAAAAGCTCGTGGGAATATTTAGAACCACCACAGGAGAATTGGTGGGTATGTCTTGGACCTAGGAAACACCAATATTTAACAAAATTCACAAAGTTGAAAAAAGCCAGAGAAAGGGGTCAGGGTTGGGGAAGCTGGGATAGATAGGGTTATGACCTGCAGATGAGGGCAGGAGATGGGGAGGCGTCACACACACTGGGTGGGGTGTGTTCACCTGGCAGCACTACCCTCCCACCTTGCGGAGAAAGAATCTGGGGTTTGGAGGTGAAGCCCCCTGTCCAGTCTCTCTAAGAAGAAGACAAACTCAAATCCCAGCCTTCGAGTGTGAGCCCAGTCCGTGCCCATCCTCCTTACACGCCTCCCCCAAAGCAAGTTCTTGAACTTAGTAGTCCATTCATCTATTCATTCATCCAAACACGTCAAAAACCCGTGTGGGGCAGTGTTTCCCAGTACCCTGCTGTTTGCACTGACGAGTTCTGGTCTGGAGGCACGGCTAACATGTGTTGAAATCTCTCTTGCCAGCCCAGTCCATGCCCTCCATCATCTTGAAGAAACCCCTGACAGGTCCACAAGGAAAGGATCTGAAATAAAGGGGGAGACGGGGTGTGGAAACTAGGCGGCCTCGGAGACACACTGACCACTTGCCAGATGCGAGGATCTCTGGCTGGCTGATGGCAAGGAAAACCACCGCGGCTCCTCCCTTCGGTATGTGAGCCTGGAACGCCACCTAGTGTGTGTCACCAGTATTGGCACCTTCCCGGGAACACAGGGTCCGCCCCCCCACCACACACACACACACACACACACACACACACACACACACACACACACACACACTGGCCTGTGCTTTGTTTGGTGGATGGTGTTTGGGTAGGTGAAACCCTGAAGCAATGTCAGAGCCTGTTTGCTCAGATCCCCCACCCACTGTAGTCAGTTCAGATGATCGAAGCGTTTACCTAAGAAGTCTTGGGTAACATAAGCATGGTCCCAGGAATACCCTCTCCAACACACAACTACAAGTATAAATTAAAAAGCCCTGTGAGGGGGCTGGCAGACAGCTCAGAAGGTAAAGATACCTATCACTAAGCCTGAGGACTCAAGTTCGATCCCCTGGACTCACATGGTGGAAGTCGTCTCCTGCCCTCCACATGAATGCTGAGGCACATGTGCGTACACATACCACAAGGTGAGGAAATGTAGTTTGGTGGGGGCTTTTTGTTAGAAAGGAAGAAAGAAAGATACCCTAAAAAAAAAAAAGCTAGACAGCCCTAGAAGAAAAGCTGGTGTTTCAGGAAGAGCTAAGCAAAGGAGATCAGAAGAAAAAAAAAAAAACCTTGAAACTCAGCTGTCCAGAGCACACACTAATGCTAGCCTTACTGAGAAAGAACATCCTATAAGGAATTATTTTCCCATGAAAAAGAAATGGGGGGGTGGAGGAATAGGAGGGGGAAGACGGAAGGGGGAGAGTGGAACTCGGAAGGGAGGAGGAAGGGGAGGAGGAAGAGGGGAGGAGCACAAATGTGTGCTCCTGAGGAGTTTTGAGACAGTCATAATGTTGGGAAGGCAGAAAACTGTAGGGTCCTTTACAGGGGGTGGGGGGCACTTGACGTGGGATCTGCCTGGAGGAGGGGAATGATGGGATTTCCCTATGCTTCCAGCTTAAGCGTGAATCAGTCCTGAAATGTGCCGGAGAAGCCAACAAACACAACATTGCCTTCACCCGCATCTCTCATGCAAAGTGTCCCAAAGAGGCTGGCAGAATGGAATTGAGCTGAGTCGCAATGAGAAAGCATGCACGCTATAAAGGAACATTCGATATAGAGGCAATCACTCCAAGGTGATTCGTGCCATCCGTCAGTCAGAGGTATAAATCCCATGGGGCGCATGAGGTATGTGGCTGGCCTGCATGCCTATTTTCTAGGGGCAATGAATGAATGGATTTCTCCCTCCTGCCCAGGCTCCAATGCTTTTAGCAATTGGCACTGTGGCAGGATTTATACCATGATTCTTGTAAACTGTACCTTCTCTCTCTCCTTTTCAAAGGTCCCTTTCAATAAAATGCAGATGGAATTGTTTGAGAGCTGCCTTCCATGTATTTATAGTTACTTCTGCTCCACTGCTCATGCAGGTGTGTGTCTCCAGGCCGCTTTGTTTTTTTTATTTTCTCTGCCTATTAGGGAAATGGAAACATATGGATTCCTTGTTTGGGCCCAGCGGACCTTATAGAATAGTATCCCCTATTGCTCTCCTCACACATCTTCCTGTAATCATATGGCTCTAAATTAGCCTCTTAATCCCCCCATGGAAAAGCCATAATACAGGGAAATTCAATAAAATGTGTATGTGTTCTGAATGCCAAGGCATTCACAAAGCGGATGGCAATGTGGTCATTCCTACAACCATGTGAGGAGAGCTTTTGCTGGTAACTGCTCACAATGTGGGTTTAGAAGCTGACATTCAATATGGCAGACCTGGGTCCAGCATACAGAAAACTAAGCATTAGCCTCGTTGGGAGAAAAGGAAAATGTAGTACTGAAGGGCAAAGGAATTGGAGGTACTGATTTGGCTCTGAACCCCCCAATATAAATGTTTCCAGCTTACATAGCAGTTCGATACAGAAATTCTAGGAATGATCTTTCCCTGGAAGGTGCAGACTTTAGAAATATTGCAGCAATGTACTCTCAGAAATGCAAAGACTCTAATATTAAAGACGTCCTATAAGTAATATCCCTGCAATATGCCTCCCATTATAAGTAAATACCTCATTTACTAAAGGTGTGTGTTTAATTAAAATGCCTCTCTCCAGCCCTCTAGGAAGAGGAAATAAGTAAATGTTTATGCAGGAGGCTGCCCACCATCCCCAGCAGAGTGCTTATTACAATTAATGGGAACACATAATGTCTATGTTGGGGAAAAAGACAAACAAACAAACAAACCACAACTCAAAAAAGAACATCCTTTAGCCAAAGATGATCATTTTGCTGCCCTTCTCCCATGTCACCCAAGGGACAGTCCAGCCTTTCTATTGGGAAGGTGAGAGAGTGAAGAACATGGATGCATGGATGCTGGTCCCTCCCACACCTGCTGTGCAAATGGGAGCCCAAAATGATGTGCAGAGTCCAACCCTAGATGCAGCTGGGTTCCATGTGCTTCCCCGAGCCCTTGGGAAAATTGCCCAAGTCTTCGTCTAGAGTAAGTCACAGGATGGAACCCTGATGAGCAGGGCCAGCCCCTAAGCAGCCTCCCCAAAACAATGGTGGTGTGTCACTGTTCTGGATGGGTGAAACGCTGTTAGTCAGAAGTCTGCAAACCCTGTCCCCAAACTGACCCCAGCATCTGAAAACAAGGATCTTGAAGAAGGCCGTGTGGGTGTGCGCCCCCTAGTGGAAAATCAGCAAATATAGTGGGACTCATTCTCTGTGGGAATGGTGTCTTCAGGTGAAGAATGAGGGGAAAACCACCAAGAAGGTTTGAACCCAGGACTGAACTTGGCTTTTCTCCTCTTGAATTCGTGAGCCCAATTCTGTGCTAGCTTCTTCTCTAAAGGGAGTAGATAGTTTTAAAAGGGTGCCCCTGTGTTGAATAGAAATTTGTTTAACGATGTAAAAATGTGCTGCATTTATTTATAGTGCATTTGTTTAACGATGTAAAGATGCGTTGCTGTTTCACCTTGCCTGCCTAAGGCACCTGATGGATCCAGTAAAAAGCTGAACAGCCAATAGCTGGGCAGAGGAGAGATAGGCAGGGCTGGCGGGCAGAGAGAAAAGGGGAGCCAGCCAGTGAGAAAAGGCAAGCCAGCCAGCCAGCTGGGGACCAGCCCACTGGAGGTCAGACAGACAGACACAGAGGAAGCAGGAATGCAGGATGGACAGTATGTAGATGAGGTAAACGAGCCTCTGGGCAGCACATAGATTAATAGAAATTTAAGTTTAAAAAAAAAAAAAGCTAGCTAGAAACAAGTCTAAGCTAAGGCCAAGCCTTCATAATTAATAATGAGTCTCTGTGTCATGATTTGGGGGCTGGCGGTCCAAGAAAGCCTGCTATATCCCTGACTGGGGACGATGGAAATGCTTGTTTGGTGGCGGTGGCGGTGGTGGTGGCGGTGGCGGTGGCGGTGGTGGTGGTGGTGGTGTTTTAAGACAGGTATTGATATGTAGCTCGGATGGAGTTGCCTTCACTCTGCAGACAGAGCAGGCTGGACTGCAACCTGCAATCTTGGCTGTGTTTTCTGAACACTGGGACCGCAGGCATGGGCCACCTCCCACCCCACCCCCACCCCCAGGACCAGACAAGATGATACCAGAAAAATCACTTCCAGCCTTAACATCTCTAGACCTCCACATACAAGGGATTAAAAGTTAGCTAGTGATATGTACTCAAGTGTCCACACCACAGGCAAGCCCAGAGGAGGCTTTCCAACAACAGAATCTGCCCCTCTCTGCCCTTGTATGTACCCTTCCTTTCCTCCGTGCTCATTCAACAGATCCCTGGCCAGGAGAGCGGGGAAGAACTGTCTTGGCTTGGAGACATCTCCTCATCTGGTTTCTTGCTGTTACTAGAATGATAGGGTAAATATTAATGAAAATAACCTGATGCATCTTTTATCTTGACAAACAGCGCATCCTTCATCTTTACATAAACAAATTAGAAGAATCGTACAAGGATATATGATTCTAGAGGGAGTAAGAGAAGCAGGCGTTTCCCTGTGCACCGAGTCCATGCCACAAGCCATACGGTGAGCCTGGGACGGCCGCTATTGGGAATGTAATTACCGCGGTCAACCCCCACCAGGCAGGGACTCGTAAGGTCTGCTCAGCTTCTAGTGCATGGCTGGTGTGCTCAATAAATGACAAATGCAATTATAATAATTAATAATTCATATATTAATAATCCCATCCCTTTCCCCTTTTGCTCAGTAATTGCCTGCCAACATGCCACGTATACATGGGAACTAGCGTTACCAGACGCCCCAGAATTTCTCCACATTTTCCTAGAGCTGTGTGAAAGGTCACCTTGAAGAGCTGGTCACAGCTGCCAGTCAGTCTAAGGAAGGTCACCGCTTTAACTGTTTCATTTTCTTCTGATCTCCTTCGTATTTCGAATGTGTACAGCTGTCTCTGATACCTCATTGGAGAAATAAATGCCCTATTGCCACACTTGAGAGCTGCTGGGGTCACCCTGCACTGGGACTGAGGCACTGGGACTTCCTAGCTAATCCCAAGCACCCCTTGCTCTATCCCAAACCTGCAAAGAGCTCCAGCAACCCCTTCGAGTATCCTGACACCGCCATGGGATGAGGCCTTTGCTGTGTGTGCCCAGCCTGTTATCCGGGGTGAACTGGTGAACTCAGGTTGGCAGATCTTCATCCCACGCTGAGCAGATTGTTCATTTCACAGACAGTCACAGAAATCAAAGGCTCAGGAGAGTTATTAATGTCCTGGCAGGTCCTCCCTGAAGAGGGCGAACGTTGATCTCTCTATCTCTTTCTGTTTTCTTTTCCCTGGCTGGCCCTGCTTTTTCACAATGCAGGTGATGCTACTCTGTTTGTTCAGAACTCACTTGAGTTGCCTAATGAATTTCAATTGCCATTTTATCTGGTTTTTTTTTTTCAATTGGCCTCTCTTTTCTAGGCATCCCAGGCGGTTTCCGCATAGACTGACATTCAGCATTCCTGACCACCCTGCACCCCCATCTGTCTCTTCCTTCAGACACCCCCATTTTCTATCGTACTAAGGCTGAGATGGACACAAAGGAAGGAGGTTGAAGTCATTAGACAACTATCGCAATTCTTCTGGAGCGCAGAGACAGCTGACCTCGTGTTAGGCATAAAATCCATTCTTACATTCTCATTCCAAGGGAGGAGAAGGCAAGAGAGCTCTTTGCCAGTGAGCATCTTGCTCTACCAACTTTTCACTTCCCCTCTTTCGGGTTCCAAGTAAGAGTCACTTAAACTATAGCTGCTGCCTTCACCTGTGAAGGGACAAGTGAATGGTCATGAGACTAACTTCCAGATTCGCCTTTTCTCGTGTTGATTAGATCACAAAGCCCACTGGAGATCTCCACTAAGCGTAACAGCTGCAGAGAGCCACTCTTGAGTAGCTGCTGATAGCAAGACCACGTTCCCACGCTCCACGCTCCACGCTCCACGTTCCCACGCTCCACGTTCCCACGCTCCACGTTCACACACTCCACGTTCCACGTTCCCACGCTCCACGCTCCCACGCTCCTCGCTCCCACGCTCCACGCTCCCATGCTCCACGTTCCCACGCTCCACGCTGCGTGGACCCGCCTCACTTCTTCTTGGGTGCTCCAGGCAGAAGTGTTGCCCGTGGTGGTTTCCAGTGTAATGAACGTCTCTTGACAGTGACGTCCTTTGCTGTGAGCTTTTCCTAAGCTATCCTGTCACCATCAATGGTCTGTGTTAACACTCCTTTGGAGAACCATTCAACATGTCTCTGCCTCTAGTACCAGTCTTTGTGTTATTGAACTAGAGATCTCTCGTTAGAGAAATTCATTGCCTATCAATTGCAGGGTTAATGACCTGAAGGCCTCAGGTGGGCTGAGAAACTCCAGACAGAAGACTTACGTTGACAGATAAAACCTGTGGGATCTCCTGGTTGAGAGCCCCATATCATACCAAACCCTGACGATAGCTATTGCTTTGAGATTGCAGAACAACTGACCTGCAGACAGACTCTTCCATCCCCAAAGCTCCCCCTTTTCCATCCTTTAAGACCCCAACCCCCTGTGCACACATCTGTACTTCTGTGGAGAGGCTGCGGTCCTTCAGTTGTTCTGATGAAAGGGCAATTCTGCTTCTAGAGATGCCTGTCTGCTTTCTAGGGATGCCAGTCTGCTTTCTAGGGATGCCAGTCTGTTTTCTAG